TTTTTTTTTTTTTTTTTTTGAGTTGGAGGCTCATTCCTTTGCCCAGGCTAGAGTGCTGTGGCATGCTCACGGCCACCCTACCGTCAACCTCCTGGCCTCCAGCGATCCTTAATCCTCAGCTTTCTAAGTAGCCAGAACTACAGGCACATGCTACTACACCCGGCTAATTTTTATTTATTGTGTAGATGAGGTCTTACCAAGTTGCCTGGGCTGGTCTTGAACGCGCAGGCTCAGGCAATCCTCTCACCTTGGCCTCCCAAAGTGCTGAGGTTACAGGCTGAGCCACCGAGCCCAGCCTGGCTCTTACCTTTCATGAGGATGGCCTCCGTCAGCGGAAGGCCATGGCACTCACAGAGCTTCCAGCACTGCAGGTAGACCAGAAAGTCGTCCCTGCGTGCTGTGTTCACAAGCTCCTTCATCTCCCCATGGAGGGTGGACGGGAGGCAGTGCTCATCAAAGTGCTTGTTCCCGCAGCGCACCAGGCGGCACCGCTCTGCATACTGGATGGGATGGATGGTGAGCTGCAGAGAGAGCAGGGGGTGTGGAGCTCTGTGTCTTCCTCCCATCTGGAGGGCAGGTGTGGTATGTAGTGCCGCATCAACCCCTCCCCATGAGGCCTCTAGAAGGTGCAGTGGCAAACAGTGCGCAGTGGGGCTGGGTTCGGCTTCTGAAGTCAGTGACTTGGAGAAAAACCATATGGGGTCAAGGTTACCCGGAAGAACACCGAATGGTTCCATGTGCACAGCCCCATGCATGGATGTGCACACACGACAGTACAGTTTGTACAGTCGAGCCCAGGACACATGCCCTAGAAGACTGTCATTCAAGTGTTTGGCTGCATGGGAATTTAAATTAAGAGCAGCCATCTGTGACGGGAGGGGGAAGCCATATGCTAAGGTAGAGGGGCTGAGCAACCTGAAGTCACACTCTTGTCGGCTGCTACCTTCTTTTTGACAAGGAAAAAATATATATATATCTATTTTGAAAGCTTCTGACTCTTGAATCAGTAACGTACAGCCCATAGGCCAAATCTGGCCCACCACCTGTTTTGATAAAGTTTTGCTGGAAGGCAGCCACCCTCATGCATTTAGGTGTTGTCTACAGTTGTTCTGCTGCAACAGCAGAGCTGAATGGGTAAGACCATATGGCCTGCCAAGCCTGAAGTGTCTACTCTCTGGTCCTTCATAGAGAACTTTGCTGATTCCTGCACAAACATTGTGAGTGTTCTTGTCCTGCAACTGAATCAAATGTTAGTTGACACAGCACTTACCAGAATCTGCCATTTTATGATGTATCTATTGTATATTCAGATACATATTTGTATATTATATATTTTGATGTAGTACTATATTAATGCTGTGTGCCTCCCTGACTGGACTGTCAGCTTCCTAGGGAGCAGGGACTGTTTGGTTTACTACAGCACCCGAAGGGGACCTGGCACATCGCAGGCTTTTTTTTGAGTTGGAGTCTCACTCTGTCACCCAGATTGAAGTGCAATGGCCGCTCCCGGCCACCGCAGCCTCGACCTGCTGGGCTCCGGTGATCCTACCACCTCAGCCTTCCGAGTAGCTGGAACTATAGGCACGTGCTGCCACGCCCGGCTGATTTTTTGATTTATTGTAGAGATGAGGTCCCGTCAAGTTGCCCAGGCGGGTCTCGAACCCGCGGGCTCAGGCAATCCACTCGCCTCGGCCTCCCAAAGTGCTGGGATTACAGGCTGAGCCATGGAGCCTGGCCTACATAGCAGGCTTTTGATGTTTGTTGGGCAAACTAGTTCCTGCAAGCAGTCCTTCCTCCCATTCCTTGCCATGCGTTTCTGGAGGGTCCACCCAGTGCTGGGCGCTGTGCCAGACGCTCTGATTCCAACTGTGATGAAAATGCAGCCCTGGTCTCAGAACACAAAGTCTTCATTAAGGAATGGGGGGAGGGGGACTCGATACCTCTGGAAACGGGATCTTCTTAGGTCTTTACAAAAACCTCGTGTGGCAGGTACCCTTCTGGCTCTGCAGATGAGGGGACACGTGGGGGCGGGCGGTCTCACGAGTGAAGACTCCCGCCCAAGGCTTCTCCAGCCAGCAGGTGGCGCTGCCGCAGCGGCTCCGAAGCCCAGCGGGCCAGTCCCCAAGCTGCACACCCTCGTGGGGCGGCGGGTACCTTGTGCTTCCGCCGCCTCTCACGGTAGTGCTTGCCCACGTCCTCCATCTCCTCCAGGGTCATGGGCCGAGCCTCCATCTGCATGTCGACCACAGGCACCGTCAGCAGGTCCATCTTCGGAGGCTGGAAGGCCGCATCCACCCCCTGCTTCTTGAGCGGGGACGCCCTGTGCTTGGCCAAGATGCAACCTAAAATACAGGGAAGAGAGGAGGGAAGGAGGGGTGAGAGGGAGTCCAGCCGTGGAACCACCAGGCAGTTGTCCAACTTCACTGAGCAGGTACCAGGCCACCCACTGCTCCCTTCTCCCGTGTCTAGGAAGTGCCCACTGAGATGCACCTTGAACGTGTACCTGCTTTCCACCTCAACTATCACCTGTACGCCTCCCCGGCCCTCTGGCTGCCATTTTCATTCTCTGTCACCCTCTTTCACCAAGTGGCAATAGGGCCTTCAAAAGCGTAGAACAGGGCATGGTAGCACATGCCGGTAGTCCCAGATACTCAAGGAGGCTGAGACAGGAGGACTGCTTGAGCCCAGGAGTTGTAGGCTTCAGTGAGCTATGATCACACCTGTGAATAGCTACTGCACTCCAGTCTGGGCGACAAAGCAAGGCTTTGTCTCTGAAAACATATACATAGATAGATAGATACAGATCTACTTACCTACATACATACTTACCTGTCTACCTCTTATTTCCGTGGCTTCCCATAGCACTTAGTCTAAAACCCAGAGTGCTTTTCCTCAGCTACAAGGCCCTGCAGGATCTGGCCTTGGCTGCCTTTCCACCTGCTCTATCCCCTACGGTTCTCCCTCACCCACTCCACCCAGCCATCCCAATTTCCTTCTGTCCCTTGGAAACTTTCCTACATCAGGGCCTTTACCTTTGCAGTTCCATCTACCTAGGATATCCTTCCCCCAGACTGCCCCAGACTGACTCCTGTCAGTCAGGTGTCAGCTCCAATGTCTACTTCTAAGAGAGGCCATCTCTGATCAGCACCCCATCACTCTGTCATATTGACTTCAAGGCATTAATCATTATTTACCCCTCTTTTTTTTTTTTTTGAGTCAGTCTTACTGTGTCGCTTAGGCTAGAGTGCAGTGACTTGACCATGGTTCACCACAGCCTCAGCCTCCAAAGTACCTGAGACTATAGGCATACACCACTATGCCTGGCTAATTTTTAATTTTTTGAAGAGACAAGGTCTCGCTATGTTGCCTCGGCTGGTCTTGAACTCCTGGGCTCAAGCAATCCTCTTGCCTTGGCCTCCCAAAGTACTGAGATTACAGGCATGAGCCACACCTAGCATGATTCACCCTTTCCGTGTAAGCCAGTTGAAGGCCAGGGTTTTGGCTTGTTCGCTGCTGTGTTTGCAGTTCCTAGAAGTGTGCCTGGAACATAGTAGGTGCTCAACAAAGGCCCAAATGAATAAAAGAATCCCATTGCCCCTGCCCTGATTCAGGCCTTCATTGTCTCAAGCTGAAATAAAATCCTGGCCTTACCACCTTCTATTGAGACTGTGGACAAGTAACTCAGGCTCTCTGAGCATCACTTACCCCATGTAAATCGCGATTAGCAACCTTGACCTCCAGGGGACGTAAAGGATAAGCTGACATAATTCTGCGAAAAGAACTACAGAACCATGGAGGGCATCCCTGTCGAGGCACCCAAATTCTTGCCTCTTTAGACAAAATGAGAGACACACCAGTCCACCCACTACCAGTCTCCAAGGGAAAATAACTCAGTGATGATGCCAAAATAGCACCGTTCAAGCAAACGCCTTGGTCCAAAATACCTTTGCCGCAAATGTGCATTTCGGCACACTGTGGTCATTCAAATGTCTCATAGCCAGTTACCCAGATAATGGTGAGCTTGGTCATTTGTAATGCCGATGTGCAAAGAGCACTGGAGTGAAGGTGTGTCCACCTTGAGAAGCCTCTGAGGGTGGGCTGGACACAAAGGGTGCATCCTGCACAGACGCCAGCTGAGTACCACTGTGGGGTGGCAGTGCATGCAGGTGACTGAGGGGGCGCTCAGGGTCCCTGGACTCTGAGAGGGGCAGAGACTCTGCCTGGGAGAGGGTGGTGCCTCTGCAGGGCAGCTGGTTGAGACCAGAGGTCGGAAATTTCCCAGGGGACTGAGGAATGGGCCGCAGTCTCCAAATTAACCATGCCAGTGAGGATGCTGAATAGCCTGCTTGGTGTGACCATGAGCTTCAGAGGTCTTGCCCCAGATCTTCACTGATGGAAGAAAGCCCCTCTACTACTTCCTTGAGGGCTCCCACATGACCTCAGGGAGGGCAAGGAGCCATCCCAACACATCTGAGATTAAATTCCTGCCAGCCTGGTGGATGAGGACAGTAGGATTTGTTTTGTTTGGAAAAACAAAGCTGTGGTTGTATTTGGGGAATAGTACTGGAATGAGTGGGTGGTTCTAATTTTTTTTAAAAAAACAATGACACTGGGCTGGGCACAGTGGCTCCCGTCTATAATCCCAGCACTTTGGGAGGCCAAGGTGAGAGGATTGCCTGAATCCACGGGTTTGAGACTGACCTTGGCAACTTGGCAAGATCTTATCTCTACAATAAATCAAAAAATCAGCCAGGTGTGGTAGTGCATGCCTGTAATTCCAGCTACTTGGAAGGCTGAGGTGGAAG